TGGATTGATCACCCCCAAGAGGTTCATCCCCTCTGTTCCCATGAGGTCATCGAGTGTTTTAAGTTTAGGAGTAAACTAGGTCCTCTAGAATAGGTGTAGGTAGAGAAGAGTTGTAAACCCACAAACATGACATAAATGCTACTTGTCCTACTCATTACGAGCAATAGAAAGCTTAACAATGTCACATTCGTCTTGTCTCTTCTAATGCCCATACACATTCATTCACTGGTTACTTATTGGGCTGTGCGGTGGGCACCACAGGATTTGGAACTCATGCACGTGGCTGGATTGAGCACTCCTGGATTACAGAAGAGCCTGCGAAACATTTTGGTCATCGTCTCTAACTGGTCTTTTGCCTTGCTGGGACATCTGATCCTCTGTTGATGTGGAGGCAGCTCCTGAGACTTGTGACCAGCCACCAGGATCAAGGATGGCAATGGTGGGAAGAAATTATGGGTAGATTCCTACAAACCCACCCTCAGCAGCTGGCAGCAAAAAGGTTGCCATGCTTGTAACTGCAGCTGTGGCCACATGCTCCAATAACAGCCAGGAACGCTGTCTTCCAGAGCTTGGTTCTCCAAGATTATCACCTATTTGAAAACCAACCAACCAACTAAACAAACAAACAAAACCACCTGGACCCCAGGGCCTCGGGGATGCTGAGGATGGCTGAGCTTAATCCACATGCTATTTCTCTCAAAGCCAGTCGTGATTGTCACCCTGTGTGACTGGATAGTTTGGCACTGTGTGAAGCCACCAGGTGAACTTGTATGAAGGGGGCGGGGCAGGCTGAGATCCTGGGATAGGGGAGGCTTTCTAGGCTTTTGTAGGTTTTATATGATAGGTTGATTTGCCCTGCATCCCAAAGGGAGTTCTGTGTATATCACACATGGAGAGAAAACCCTCCAGATTTGGAAGCAACCTGGGTTGGCTGGTTGGAGAAAGCCATTGAATTCTGGGTGTCAGGCATGTTTATGCTTTCTGGGTATGGGGGAGAAGGACCCAGAATCCTCCATTACTTCCCTCTGGGCCTTGGCATTATGGGAGTGCGGTTAACCTCTTTTGCAGAATTCTCTCTCAATCCATTTGTTACCAAACTTAACAGAATCCATCTTCTTAACCCAGCCTCTTCCAAGAGCATCTTCCCCAGGCCTCTTAAAGATAGGGATGGCCTATCATTGTACCCCCTGAGTCTAGTGCACAGTGCCAGGCACCCATCCCCAATCCCTGAGGGGTTGTAGAATGTCTCATTGGGGGGCTCTGGCAGCTCACAGTTTTTGGCAACAGCTTTAAGGGCAGGGAATGCAGCCAAACTGCTTCCAGAAGCATATACAGGGAGAAATAGGGAGATGGGGAGGGTGATTATCGGTGTCTAAAAACCTGCCATGACTAATTAATCTACCAAGGTGGAAGTCACCACAAAGGTGTGTGGACTGAAATGATTTGAGGGGGGAAGGAAGGGTGCAGATGGGTGACCTTTCAGATTATTAAAGGGAACCAGGAAGTGGGGAGCACAGTGTTGTAGTGGGTAGGGGAAATACTGTAGACATGAGCTCTGTCTCCAAGGGCCTCAATCCAGCCTCGCTGGAGACAGGTAGAGACTGACTGGGCCACCGTGAGGCCCACAGAGAATGGTACTGGGCCATTCAGCATCACAGCCTCAGACGTCAGATCCAGTTTCAAATATGAACTTGTCACTTGCCCTTTGTGGGACTCTGGGCATGTTACTCTTCAATCCCCGGTTTCACATCTCTAAAGAAGGGACACTAATAACTCCTTCAAATGGTTGTGGTGAGGACCAAACAGGTCACCAGTGAAAGTTCCCAGGAGCTCTGGGCTCTGACAGCTTGTTAGATTGGCGCTCGTTTCTGCTGCTGCCCATGTACCAGCTTGCACGGTGTGCTGTACTTTTCTGAACCTCAGGCACGTGAGAGCACCTGGCACCCAGGTGATGCTCAGTAAAGAAAAATGCAAAAATAGTAGGGAGTTGTCCCGTGGCCTGCAGTCAGCTTCCCCGATGGTCTGTCTTACATCACCACAGTAAAGGGTCGCAGCAGGAAATGAACATCACCCGCTGCTCCTGGCCGAGCTGCAGGCTGGGTGCAGATTTTGCCAGCTCTCCCCTCTAGTTCCCGTCCGTTCTACCTTTCAATCCAGGGTCCCGTGTTCCACTGAGCTGTCCTATCCCCCTCTAGTCTTTGTCTTTCCTGGCCGTGACACCTTCGATAAATATTTACTGGGTAATTATTTTGTAGACTATTTCTCAGTTTGAGTTCATCCAGTGTTTTCTCATGATAAGAGTAAGATGTGCCCATTTTGCGGGAACACCACAACAGTGATGTGCCACTTTTAGCCCCTCTTCCCTTGGTCGTGGCATTTTTCCCTTTTAATAATCCTCTCTGGGACCAGCAGTTAGCGTAATGGCTATGTTGCTGAACTCCCATGTAGTTGATCATGGTTTGAGTCCCGGACCTGGAGGCTTAAACTCACACCGGGCGTGTGTGCGTGCATGCCCAAGATCCCAAGAGGAGAATGGAAGAGAAGGGATTGTGGGGGTGTGGCCATTCCCCCTGGGGGGTGATCTCTCACTTTCTATCTCTCTTTCTATCTCTCTTTCTGGCAAGCACACCTGCCCTACAGCAAAAACCTCTCCAAGAAAGAAAGAAAGAAAGGAAGAAAGAAAGAAAGAAAGAAAGAAAGAAAGAAAGAAAGAAAGAAAGAAAGAAAGAAAGAAAGAGAAAGAAAAGTCCTCTCTAATTCAACGGCATCAAGTACATGTTTGATGTTGTGACCCCTCTTATCTGGTTCACCCCAAAAGGAAACCTCAAACCAGTTAACAGTCATTCCGGATTTCTTCTTCCCCTACCCTGGCAACCACCAATTTGTGTTCTGTATGAACTCGGCCTGCTCTCTGTGGAATCATCCACTATGTGGTCCTTGGTGACTGGTTTCTTTCACTCAGCATGCTTTCAAGGTTCATTCAAGTTGTACCATGGCTCAGTCCTTCGTCCCCCCTCCCACTTTTTTTTTTTTGGAGAGATTTTTACTATAGGGCACGTGCACTCATCAGACAGAGAGAGACATAGAGACAGAAAGCGAGAAATCACCGCCCTGGGGGGATGGCCCCTCCACGATCCCTTCTCCCCTCGGGATCTTGGGCATGCACGCACACGCGCCCGGCGTGAATTTGAAGTCACCGGGTCCGAGACACAAATCGCGGTGGACTACATGGGAGTCCAGCGACATAGCCATTAACGCTAACTGTTGGTCCCCCTTCGTCCCTTTTTAAGGCTGAATAATATTCCACTGTGTAATAGACCACATTTGATTTTGTTTAACTCAACAGTGAGACCTGGAGTGAGCCCCCGGTGAGAGGAAGAAAGGTAGAGACCCCTGGGACAATTGGGGGACGGGGGATGGGGGCGAAGGGTCAGGATTGGGGAGCATGGGTTGCAACTACCGGAGGCACCGAGTAACATTCCTGTACCGGAAGCAGACTCTTGAAAGTTCCATTTGTGGAAAAGGAAAAACCCTGCTCGTGAGATGTTGAAGCGGGGCCCAAAGACGGGAAAGGAAAGCCTCCTGGGCCTGAAGGAGGTGGGTGGTCGGCAGAGGAGCCCAGCCACAG